GATGGCTTGTTGTCTGTTTAGTTTTGTTTATTTATTTATTTATTTTTCGTGCATATGGGAAAAAGTCCAATTCACCTGTGTAGAAATATGATTAATTTATTTACTTCCTTGAGTTACGCTCGTATGACGTCGAACGTGCTGTGTTTTTTTTCTCCATCTCTTTCTTAGGTTTTTTTTTATATGCATTCACCATCAATCTAAGTGACAATTTCTTAAGTATCCAATTTGTATACACGCATTTCATTTGGACATATTGATATCGTGACTGCGGCGGTGGTGGCTATTACAACAATTTGTGTTGGTGTATGCTGCAATAACGTAAAAAACCGCACGAACGATTATGAACTCAATCGAATTGGATCGATTGAAATCATTGGGCCACCCAAACGAAAGCCAAAAAAAAAAAAAAAATCAAATCAACTGAAACGAAATTGTCACATTTACTATGTATAGCATTTTCACCGTTCGGCGCACTCAATTGATTGCATTAATATCATCATCGAAATGATTTACTCAGCCGAAACAATAAAAATGGAAAATAAACAAAACCAATTTGTATATGTTCATTTTCAAAGAAAAGTGAAATGAAAACGAAAGCGAACGACAGCGCGCTGAGCATGAGAATAAAAGAAGCCGCTCCGATCTATTGATTGAATGAGAATTAATTAGCAAACCGACCACGATTTTGGAAATAAATGGACAACCAAAAATAGAAGAACAAACGATGCGATTTATATGATACATGACATTTTTATGGTGACTGGCATTGTTTAAGCGTGGGCCAATTTCTTTCTCTCTATTTCACTTTGAAAATCAATTGGACGATCGTTAAATGGCTTTTTTCCGTCTTCCGATGCTATTGAAAAAGTCAACATCTTGTTTACAAATCGACAAAAGTAGCCATTTAATCAGCCACAAATGGCGCGCACATTTCGCTCGACCTTTATTATCGCATTTGAAATGTGATGTGCTTTTTATGTTCGTCGACGGTGCGACGCTCGAGTAGTGCTTTCATTGAATTTCCATTATGAGAGATTTTCGTCATCCCAAATGAAAATGTGAATGTCAAATTATATTCATTTTGTCATTTTATACTTTTAAGCAATTTATCACGACACATAATTTATGCTCAAGCATGGTGCGCTCGCGCAAACAAAAATCTATGACTTTTTGTTATTATTTCTTTCTTTTTGTTGTTGCACGCATTGTGTTACTGTTTGAATTTATGAATAGATTTGATTACATTGTAATGTGTCGTTCTTTTCTCGAGTGCATGAACATTGGTGGTGGTGGTGGTGGTGTGGTTGTTGTTTTCGTTTCCGTCGCGTCTTATTTATCCACTGCAAAATACCGATGAAATAATTCCGTTTGAGTTCACATTGAATTGTATCAAGTCGATTTATCTGACTTTTGGTTAAGCATGCATAACTGGTGTTCGGCCGAGAAAAAAAAAACAACGGTATAAACCAAGTTGTTTCAGTCAACCGTTTTAAATTCGTTTGATTTAAATCTGACTAAATGACTTCGCGCAATTATTTGACCGAAAGAAACAGCAACTTTCATGTATTTTAATTTATCGTTTAATGTTTTTGTGTGTGTGTGAGAGAGTGAATCGAGTGGAGCACAGTCCGCACTGTGTGCATGGAGGAAATTAATCATATTTATTTTGTATATTGTGTTCAAAGAGTCAAATGAAACAATAATCATAACAATGTGTGTGTTTTGTCTTTTGTGAAAGAAAGGCACATTATTTTTGTGTGTTTCTTCTAGTATTTTTGTAAATTGGGCGCGTGTGCGCAATTCAAACACTTGAAAATTTCATTGGGCTTAAATGTGCGAATTCGAAATCGAGATGTGAATATGGTTGCGCTTGTTCAATTTCAATCGTACTATGTATTTAACTGGTTGTGTCTGGTGTGTCTGACCGAAGTTCATTGGTGTTAAAAAGAAAAAGTAAAAGCCAGAAAAAAAAATCGGTGGTTTTTTTTCTCTATATCTTTGCTCGTTCATTCGTTCAATGGGCAAAACATATATTTATTTTAAAAGCGTAAAATTAAAGAGCAGGCCAAACACATGAAAAATTCAACACCGTAAATTAAACATATTCATAAAATAGTATAGTACGCGCGTGCACATTCGATCGAAACAAATGTTAAGGCATATACGAAAAAAAAAATGTTTAATCGCGCACACCGTTACAAACGAACAGGTCGAGACATTATAACCAGACGCCGAGTCTCTCTGTCTTTCGGTCACGTCTCTGTTTAGTTTGCGTCAATTGTTGTGCAAAAAAAGCACACAGAATTGGCGGTTTTATTCGTCTTCTTATGTACTACGACAAAACAGCCCAAATTAAGATCATATTAAACGATTTGGTTGATAAGCTCCTACTGGTTACTGTTTATGTTCCATCGTAGAGTTCGTACACTTTCCATAAACAATCAATTTGGCTTAAATGAACCAGCTCAGTTGTTACGCATCGTGAAAATGATTGGAATTTTCATTGAAGTTTTACATTGTAAATGTCAATGGGATCGAAAGCTACTGGCTCGCAAGAGTTTATTACCATTGTGCGGCACTGCACAAGTCAGAAGGGAAACAGTAACAGAAAAAACAATATGCAAACACAGAATTTATGCCATGGCTGGATGTTGTTTTTGCTCCATTACAATTGTATAAATTGGCAATCGATTGCGTTTCACAACGCAAAGAACACAAAAAAGTGTGTGTGTAGCACAAGAAGTGTTCTAATGATTCAATTTACATAGATCAAGATTGAGAATGGGTCAAGCTTTTGAATGTGGAAAAACCGACAACGAATGGACATGTCAACGAATCTATTTTGTTCTGATTCAATTCGAAAAACAAAAACGACCAGTGCCATTAATCACTGATTAGTGCACGCGTTTTATTTTATTTTTTTTACTTCATATTTGTGTTGAACGGCCATTTGCCCGTTTTTCTTACCAAAGCAGAACGAAACAAGACATATTAAACAATTCATATTATTTTTTAGTTTTTGTTTCTGTTTTTTTTCGCTTGCAAAAAATGCAAATCAATGCTTAATGAAAAGAAATGAGATGTGAGATTAGTACGTAATTGCACGAATAAAAAACCAGTTAAGTTGTAAAATCACCAAGTCAAGACCATTGTTTTTTTCTGCGTTCATTTGTTTCGTTGGTTTTCTTCATCGGTTTCATTTCGATTTTGTTTTGTTTTATATTTTATTATTATCGGTCTCCCACTCTCGCCTAGCAGTGACTGCAATCAATTCATCGATATTCGGTTGATTTAGTGTATATGTTTTGATTTCGAAGCCCGTTGTTTTACACACACCAACAAAAAATGAACAGAACTCAACTTGCCACCATGCGTGTATGCAAAGTGTGAAAAAAGAAATGAATTGGAACAACAACTCGAAATATATCGATAATAAATTTCAAACAAAAATAAAAACTTTGAACTACTGCTGCTCAATTTGAGCACAACAACCGTTATGATTTGCAATTTGAATATCTGAAATAACGAAAAACATAATTTTCTTAGTCGATCGGCATGCACAAAATGAAACAAAACAACGAAACATTTAAATCATGGACCGTATTTTGATTTGTAGGCATGGTAATTGAAATAATATTGGCACTCACATGCATGCTATGCACGACTGCCAACAACAATAATTACATCGAGTGCAAAAAGTTCAAAGCAAGCGATAAAAATGACCATATGGTTTCGAAGGACCCAAAAAATTTATCTTTTTTTTTTTTGTAAAAAATTGTATTTCATTCCTCTTTCCTTCTTTATCTCGTTCTCTTTCGCACTTTTTCACCAACCCACCTCTCTAGAACCGGTGAACGCTTATCTGAATTGATTTTTTTTAGCACCATTTTGTATGCATATCTGTTGAATCATTCTTCCTTGTTGTAACTACAAATAATGCAAAAGATAACGTAAAAAGAGACAGAAAAAAGTGACTGTTTCATGCATCGGAGTGTGCGAACGAAAGACACACAAACGCCACAATGTCAAATGAACCGAACTGTTGCTGTTATGCACATTCTACGTATACCGAGTTTTTTCTCTTTTCCTTATCAGCTATCATTATCAAATTGTCACGTACGATTTTATGTTCTTTATTTTCCCTTGTGGTCGCGCGCATAAAACGAACGCAATGTATGAACAAAAAGGCATGCACATAGCGCCCTGGACTTTAACCAAACAAGATGAGCCTTTTCTCTCTCTCTCTCTCTCTCTCTCTCTCTTTTTCGATCTTTCTCTGTCATTCTCTCTCATTGTGGCTTCGACGATTCACAAGCACTTAAAATCAATGAATGGACCATTTTTTATCAATAAGTTTTATTGTATTTTAACTCAAAACATACAATTCCCAACCAATTTAAAAGTGAAACATCGCTAATTGAGTGGGATGCGTGAAGAAATGGTGTATCTTTGCCAAAATAAATTGACCCTAATTAGAACAACATACACTTTCTATTTCCCGTCGTTTGTTTTTTTTACAGAGAGTTAATTCTCTTTTGCAGCACACAATGGCACACTATTTATGACCCATTTAATATAGATGTAATAAAGATACAAGAAACATTGATCATATTTGCTTATGTAAAACATTGTGTGATAAACATCAACAACATAAATACCGTGCTCTCCAACGAAAATGTTATGAGATGTAAATATTATTACGTTTTTCATGCGAATATTGTTTTTTTATGCAATTTGATATGGGTTTGTTTTCGATCTTTCTTTCTTTCTTTGTTATTGAAATGTCGGAAAATGAGCTTGAAAGCTTGGATAATTCTCTTTTGTTCGGTTTTTTTATGTTTGATTATCACAATTATTGTTTATACAATTCGAATCGTTTTGGTCGATTTAAAAGTGGTTTGATCTTTAAGTGGAAGGCCTGGGTCAACGTCTATCTTAACGATATTGCAATAAAATTGTTTTGCGATTAAAAAGAAATATGTTCTTTTCGTCTCTTGCAGAGAACAACAATTGCTGAATGTATTCGAGGTGGTTGTGTCAACGCTGGAAGGAAAGCTACAGCGCATCGATAATTTGGATAAAGCCGTTGAACATTTGATGCGTCGTGTCGAACAGCTTGATAATCGAGTTGGTGATAATATTCACAAAACTGACTCAGTCATATCAAAACTTCGAAATTTGGACAATAAAATCTCCATGGACACAAATTCGTAAGTTTTTTTTCGATTTGAAATCAAACATAATAGATTTATATGATTTTATCCGAAATTAATAATTTTTTTTTCTTTATTTTGGCTATGTTATTTCTTCTTTTAAATGATTTTTTTTTTTTAAATAAAGGACACATAATTTTTCTGTTCGTTCCTTTTTTTGGGTCGGATCTTTTTGAAAAATAACTAAAAAAGTGTCTATTTTGAATTTATTCGCTGGACACCTTTGGCGTTGTCACATCGTCAATAGTGAAAGAAAATTTCAGTTTGCATCAAATAATAATCAATCCATTTCTCTTCCAATATGTAGAAATGATGATGTGTCAAATGTAGGTGCTGGCGGCAGTCGAGGGAATGGTAGTGTTGGTGGTGCAAACAGTAAATTTAAAATATCGGCAAATGTTCTTGATTCTCGTTTGGTGGCGCTTGATCGTAAGGTGAGCGACATCGATGTGAAATTGGAAGGATTAAAAAGTCAAATTGATAATAATTTCTTGGCCGTCGACGACATTGGTGCTGAGGCAAGTGAAAAGAAACCGATCAGTATGAATGTATTGGAAATAACAAAAAATATGAATGCCGAAGTGATAAATCATGTGTCAAATGAATTAGGTGATTTGCGTTCGACCACAGAAAGTATGGATAAAAAATTACAATTTCACATAAATATTGTGTCAGAGAATATTGGACGTGTGCTTAAAATGATTGGTGATATTCATGAAGCTGTTGTTGATCATCACGTTGATCCTCATTATTATCAACATAATGCAACCACAACACAAGCGCCAATAATAAAATCGAGTAAAATCGATGCGCTTGTCAAGCAAATAAAGCCAATAATGAGTGTTTCGGAGAAAATGGATGAAGTTTGGGATGTGGTGGTTGGTACAAAAACATCGGTTGATGATTTAGTGCCAAAAAGTGATGAACTATTGACACAAACACAACGACAAGAACGTGCAATCGGTGAAATTCATCAAGATTTAAAGACAAAGGCCAATTTAATTATAAACAATTTGAATGTGGTGGAAAAACGATTGAAGAAACAAGAGAATGACGTTGCCGCACTCGCTCAGCGTCCCGTTCCAGCCGAACTTCTGATGGATCCAACCATCGATCGTCTTGTTGAATATGATCCGAACAGGTAAAAACTTGGTTTTTGTTTTGAGGAAATGAAATATTGAAAGTCGATTGTCTTTTATTTCAATTTTTAATTAAATAATTCTTTTCATCCTCGTAGATATTCATTGATCGAAGAATTCACGGAACCGGCACCAATTCAAACGACAACCGCATCTGTGGCCGCTCAAACATCATCATCACCATCAAATCAAACAACATCCACATCAACATCGACCAGCAACGTTCAAAATACCGTTCAATCAAATACGATACCAACGAGCGCATTTAATGTGAGCACAAACAAAGCAACATCCCGGAAAGGTGGTATTATATTCCCAAGCGTGAAAAACAAACCATCTGTCGGCAATTCAACATTTACCACTGACATTTTAAGCTTCAAAGATGTTAAGGTAAGCATTGGCAACGGCCATAATATTCGCTCGGTTAAAATTACAATTTTCATTTCCGATCGTTTGTTCGGTCTGCTCAAGCATTTTAAATTAAAAAGTGTTTTCTTTGCTCTTTTTTTCAAATCGATCGCTTTGTTCGAGGGCTTTTAATTTGCTTATTCAGACATTGTAATAATGTAATAAGATTATGGGCATTTAAATGGACATTATTATTGAATGAAAACGAGCGATTTGTTGTTTAGCGGTTTTTTTCTCGGTGTATGTGTCTCATCGATAGCAGTGCCATTTCAACTGATTTAGACCAACTGACACGAATGACATTTACACAGTTTTTAATGTGCGATTTTTCTGCGCCAGCATTTTTTCGGAATTTGTTTTTTTTTCTTGGCCTCTCACAACTGTACGGCAATTTTTTTGTTTCACCGTAAAGCCCAGTTTACAGTTCCCTTGACGTGTACCGGATTTGTATGTGTATGATAAATTAGACGACAATGTCTTTTTGTCCAACAAACGAGAGAGAAAACAAGTTGCAAGAGATTGACATAGACATAATCGATAAAAATCTATTTCATGTCATTCAAACACATCAGAAGTCTCGTTTTTTTTTCGATTATGATTTCATTTATTGCCGTCTGCAAAATGCATTGAGCAGCGTATCTCTCTCTTTCGGTGTGTATCAATTGAAACAGACCACAGTGTGCTCATCGAACTTTTTGAACAACGCACCAACGCATTTATTATCTGAAATGAGTCTTGTTTCTTTGCGCATATTATGTAAGCGTCAAAGTAACAACAGAAGTATTTAAAAAAACCAGTTCAAAAAAGACACATACAATGTGCAGGTATCAAGCACCACAGCAGCACCAGCACCATTCAAATCGAACGCATTCTCGAACATTAATCGACGAACGTGTGCTCTCTCTGTCTCTTATATCAGTGTGCACACACATACGTTCCGTTCTGTTTTTTCACTTGTTTGCAAAGAAATAAAAATTCACATACAAAGCGCTTGCATGTATTTTACTTACACAGAGAGATAGAGATAGAGAGAGAAAAGAAGAGAATGAGAGATATGTTAGCATATTTAAGATTTCTTGGCTTTGGTGATGTGCCCAATGCTCAGAAAGTTAAAAATGCGCTTTTTGGCCATGCGATATCAATGAAAAAAAAACCGTCCAATCTAATCCCAACTGAACAGTGAACAGTTCGATATGCTGCTGCTGCTGCTGTGTATGGATTGTTTGTTGTCGCTGCCATCGTTGTCGTTGTCATTGCAGTTATATGGTATTAAATCATTTACCACTTGTACTGGGACTGCTGATTGCGAATCACACAGATATAAAAAAAAACTATCAAATTAAAACAAACAAATGAAGAAAAAAAAAATAAGACACACACAAAAATCAAACGACGCGTAATGAACGAAAGAAAAGGCATGAGCGCGATTGAGATCCGAAGCTGATTTTGTCGCGCTCGCAGCGTCTCACCACGAATAAGAAAAAAAGAGTAACAAAATTGGCATATTCACGACAGCATGATGATGTCTTAAAATGAAATAAATGAGTAATTATATCATTTGGTCGGTGTGTCTGCTCGCGCATAGCAAAGCAAAAAACACAACCATATTCATACAAATATTATGCTCCGTATTTGAAGCGTACCGAGTTTTATGTGCGCGCGCAAAGGTATAATTAGATTTACTAATTAGTGAATGATTCAAGCGTCTTGCGCCATTTAAAGTTCAATAAGGCACGCGCAAAAACACGCATCACACACAAAGTATTTGCACACACACACACACATGAAGCTCACATATGCTTAAATATATTGCCAAATAATATGTCCATGTACAAATCAATTCCTCAACGGTTTTTTCTTTCATTCTCGGTCGCCGTTGCTGTTGTTGATTTTTGTCGGACCAAATGAATGAAGTCTTGTCTTTTTCGCAAATTCTCGCCAATATGCGACACTCTCGCATTTTTCTTTTTCTCCTCCGGCATTCTTGTGCGCTCGGCCCGATAAAAATGCATCAAAACGAGAAAAAAAAAGAAAATAAAGAGAAAAAAAAACACTTCACAGAGAGAAACAACTGCCGAACCACCAGACCAATTTCATACACCCGAAAACCAATTACTGTTTTATTTGATTGAGTAAATTTTCGCTCTTTTTCATCGATGTTTATGGTCGGTGTCCCGTGTGCGTTACAGTCGCACTATAACTCTTTGCCATTGCGCTGCAAAATGTTGGCATCTCGCGCACGTTTACACTCTCTGGTTCACATATATAGACATTACCCGGCCAACTTGCAGTTATTATGATTATGCACAAATGCATTTGGATACATAGATTTGTTACATATCTTGTAAAATTGAACGAGCATTAAACATTACGTGCGTTTTTTTCGCTTCGGCCAACCACTTTTTTATGACCGCTTTTTCGTCGCTTTATAATATTCCTATGTTCCATCATTTTATTCTAAATGCTGTGCAATTTGTGAAAATCAACACACACACCAAATTACATTACGTTCATTCATTACATTTAAGCGCTTATGATCAACGATTTACAAAAACGAATTGGAAATTTTCTTGAATTAAATTGGATTTTCGAGTTTTTTTTTTTAATGGGAAATAATAAAAAGTATGGAAAATAGTTTTTTATTCCGCTATAAGCATAAATTTTTATTAGCAAAAAATTAATTTCAGCTTATCTTCGATCTTGTTTCCGTTCAATTTCAGGCTTTTTTGTGGGGAGATTAGTTTATACGATATTTCTTTTGCAATTTATTTGCTCTCATTACAGGAAACGAATTTCGTCGATGGTTCTTGAACATAAAATTAATATATACCTCGTGCATCAATCATTATTGATTATTTTATATTAGAAAACAGAGCTGAGCACCTCTCAGTGATCAAAGCTATCATATAAATAGACAAGCACAAAAAGTTTTGTATCCTGCTCACAATTTTACGCGTACAAATTTCAAGCGAACCATTGGATAGGTATTGATTTTTGAAATTTTGATTCGTGCAAAATTATGCACAGGAGAGGCAACTTATTCCTGTTGCTGTATGTGTTTTTGTGGCCCATAACATTTTACACTATCTATAATAATATATGTGTTTGTGACATTGAATTCACTTTTTCTATTTTTTTCGCGATTTTCGCCTCACTGATAAATTATCAGTGATAATCGTATCTCTTCAGTATGTGGTGTCAAAGTTCTAATTTTTGCATGGTTGTGGAAACCACAGAAAGTAAACAAAAACACGCAATATTACTGATAAGAGATACCGAAAAATAGCGACAAAATGACATGAGTTAAATATAAGAATATAAGTGTTGTACATTTGCCGAATTTCAGCAATTAAAAAAAAGATTAAAAATTCTATTGATGTGGGTCCCGACATCGCAAATCAAAAGAATCATCCAAAATCTAAACATCAAATTACATTTCACATTTCATACCACGAAGCTCTCTTAGAAAGTGACTCTTGGCAACTGTAGTTAGCATGAGTCGCAGCAACAAACTGTTGCGTAATTGATTTTTAAAGCCATTTTTAACTAAGATCAGATGAAAAAGAATCCGAAATGTTTGGATCATTCGAAAAATCAATTCAGATTTATCTAATTAATTCTCTGTCTTTCTCTCAGTTATTTTCTGTGCATAAATCGCCAAGTTTTGGTTACCAAATGATATTCATCTGTATCGATAAATCGAACAAAAAACGATTCCTATATATTTTCAAAAATATGGTCCATTGAACGAAAACGGCAATTGAAAATGAAACGGTAACTGTTGTTGATTGCCAACAAATAGGCAAATAAAAAAAGCGAACACGTTTTGCGGTGGCGACAACCAATTGACCGATGTTTGTGTGTTTTGTGCCATTCAATTAAATGCGAATATAATGGTTGTTTTTCTTTCATCTGCTTTTTTTGTTATCTTGACTTCATTACAAATGCTTGATCATTGTCTTATGCGGACAATTAAGAATTTCTCAACGACCATTTAACGTTGGTTTCAATTTAAATGCGACGTGTATGTACACACACCATTGTTCAAAAATTGTCGTTTATCATTTTGAATGACAGCAGACGCACATTGAGAGAGTTATTTGTATGTTTTGTGATTACATTTTTTGGGCTGCTGTAAAAAGGTTAATCGAAACAAATGAAAGCCAAAATACATACAAATTGAATTGGTTGCGTCGTAAAATTTGGATCTGGAGTGAATTTATGAATGGTTGACTGAATAGGTCGCGTGAGTTTGACCGATTTCAGTTCAATTAATCATGTCCATTGCAAATATGCTTTGACAGAGAGTTGTCGCCTGTTCGGTGTTACGTTATATTTTGCTTCAATTGCTGTCATTTCATATCAGTTTTGTAAAATTGTTTCAATATTGTTTTTGTTGTTCACACATAAAACACATAAATCTCGCAAGACTCTATCAACCGCAGGGTAATTCATTGTTAATATCACTTGTTGTATTGTATGAAACTCATTTTCGTGTCAATGATAAAAATTTAAAATCCATTAATTTTAGCTTAGAGTTGTTTCGTTTGGTTGCCTATTTGCGTGTTTATATTTGTCAATTGTGCATCATATCCATATACAAAAATAAAAATACTGCCAGTGTGTGTTGAAATATTCCATGAAATTTCCGATAAAAATACGTCATCGGAGCGCGCATGGTTCCGTGACGAAGGACGTGAGATTTCTATGTGATTTGGCATATGCAATATGCATGGGCAATGTGCATTTCGCACAAAATAGCATAATTTAATTAAGAAAAACCGAAAAATTGTCAACCAAAAGACACGGCCAATTTATTGTTGTGTCATTTACCATAAAAGTTGAGTCTTTCTATTTCTTAAGCTCACGCTCATATCTCGACGTTATACTCTTTGTTGAATTTATTTACTTTACAATTGGCAATTTGATCCTAGCGTGCGATTTGAGCATTGTCAATTGTTCGTGCCATTTTGTCTGCAATTTTTGTGTGAGCGCGTGCGGGTCGCTTTTTTTTTATTCATCAGCGCTCCTCGGCTTACAACGGGCGATGACAGTGCACGAACCATTTATCGAGCGTGTTTGTTATATGCACGGTTGCCGATTGCCATTCGGTAATTATATGAGAGCCCCGTTACCGTCGTCGACGGCGGCGGCGATTACAAATGTGCGCGTATGTTATTTCATTTTCTCACTGAAGAAAGCAAAAAATGTGCGCGCCTTATTAAATTGTCGAAGGTGATAAAAACGGCATACAGAATATGGCATTAGACAGCAATTTCTCACTGATTTATATAATCCGAACTTTGGAAATCCAACATTGGTCTGAATGAATGTGCGCATCATGGTGTCGTGCCATATCTCAAGTTTTCACTTGAATCACTGCTGCCACTGCTGTCACCGCCACCACCATCATCATTCATAAGCATGTTTATTTCAATTTCAATTCTGTCGTATTTTCTTTTCTATGAAAAACACTCACAATTCCAAGAGTTTCAATCACAGTCGGTTTTTTTCTTTCATTTAAATTGAGGTTGGATCAATCAACACATTATATACACAATACTACCAGACATATGTATGATATGTGCGATCAAGATCTTGCGACTAAGGAAGAGATTAGCGAACTCACACACGCCATCGGCCATCACGAATTTATTCCCTTGGGTTAGAATTGATCGGTTTTTTTTATTCAAAGCTCTGCAATCTCTTCCGTATCGCACTGCAACGGAATATTTTATGATGATTAAGCCATATCTATCGAATAGAAGAGGTGAAAAAAATCGGGAAGATTAAAGTTATTAAATTCATTATTCCGGCCAAAAAACAACCGACAGAATTACGTGACCAATAAACGGAAATTTGACGGGTGTATGATCACGGTTGCATTCCCCAAAGTGCAAACATCGCCAATTTCATTGAAAAATCCATTTTCTTTTTTCGCCAAAGCCACATTTTCTGCAATCTGTTCTCTGTCCCTTTCTTGGGTGCATGACGCGGATGGCCCAAAATCCATCGACATTGCTCATCTTCTATTTTATCTCTGTAATAACATTTTTACGCGTTTTTCTCTTTGATCACGCAGTTTCTTTAAATTAGCAGAGGAAAAAAATGCACATTAGATTCCAAAATAATGTTTCGTTGCGCTTCATTTGAATCGACAATTATAAAGATAATCAAGAGTAAAAGTATGTGAAGATTTTTCAAGCGGTTCATTTGCTGATGTAATGAAAGATTGAAGATAAAACAAATATGCCCAGTGAAACTGGCGCTGAAGATAAAAACACAATACATTTTATTTGTTGTTATTTTTTTTAAATAAATCAATTTGTTTCATCTGAACAATGGCCACATATGTAAGGCATCTAGCAAGTGGCACGCATATTCAAATTTTTGCCGCAATGAATTTATCAAAACAATTGCAATCACCATTTAAAAGGCTTGGCAAAGAAGACAATACAAAAACAAAGCAAAGAGAAACAAAAATCTATGTAGCGGCGCACATATGTTTAATGGCCAGTGATTGCATGCAATTCATTCACACCATATCGATGAATGAAAAAAAACCACACACAAAGGCAAAAAACCAGATAAAAGATAAGAAAAGAAGCAATAAGAAACGATGCGAAACGATATGTAGGTCAAGAATATGATTACGTTTTTTTTTTTCATGTTTTACGTTGTGTGAATAGCACACGCGGCATGCGTTCGCCGAACTAAAAATAAGATACCGAAATCCAAGAAAATCGACGACAACAAAAGAGAGACAGAGATATAACAATTACCAAAGTGGTTTTTTATTGTTTATCTTAAATTGTGAATGGTAAGCACAAGTGCTCTCGTACATCAAACTTACACCGTATTCGGTTGACTATAGCTTGAAAAAATGCAAAAATTCGAATCTCATTTTTTAATTGGCAAATTCAGCGCACTATTGTCAATATTCATTTGCAGTGAGAATTGGATATTTGATAAAAGCAGAGCTGTTCTTAGCACCAGAGAAGTCTGGGCACTCACTTATTCCATATTCCATATAAGTTTTCAAGTGCTGCGCCTGAATACCTCAGCTCTACTTTATGTATCGTTTTTCAGTGACAACTGGCACAGGAAGAAAAAAGTTCAAATTAGATGAAAAAAATGTCCAAACTTACACGGAAACTTGAAAAGTAAAAAAAGTCCACACTTTACTTCAGAAACGTTGAAAAATGAGCAGGTGTTAATTTAGATGGTGCCATTTATGCTTAAATTTGAATGCAATTTATGAATCTCTTGGACCCCTGCTCAGAATCAATGCGACGACAAAAAGATCTCCGATAAAAAAGTGATGAAAAATACCGGCCAAAGTGTGTGAGAAATAAAACATACCGGTAAATGAAGACCATGCTGTGTTAAATACACGAAGCAGTGCAGTGAATGGAAATCTAAAGTCACCAATTGGTCTGCATTAATTGTGGCAATTTTTTTACTTGAGCTTTTCGGTTGGATCTAAATTATGAAAATGAGCATTGAAATAATGTACGCGCGTGTGGAATATCATGTGATTGCTTGGGAAACTGTTTATAGATTTGCATGACGCAGTTGCATATTATCTCTGTCCCTCAGTATAAATGCAATTGAATGAAGACGACAGCAAAAAAAAATCATTTTTATTACAAAGAATATGTACAACGAATCGATCAAAACGAAAGGGACAAAGAAGACATTGCATTTGAAGAAAAAGCGAGACGAAATGGCTAAAATTCAAAATCTCTGTTTAATGACTCTCTGTGACTGCTGCTAAGAAGCTGTTATTACATGAGAAAATCTAATTCATGACACACACACACACACAAAATGGTCACAACGCTCGCAATATACATAAAAGCATTTATATGCTGAATAGTGTTTCTCTCTTGGAAAAGTATTTAAAATGCCGAGAATGTGGCAAAAAGACACCGCACTCAATACGGCGCACTCAAGGTATAATTACCTTTGGGGCAATTAGGCGAAACAAATCGTTAATGCTTTTAGCTTTTGTTGTGTCAGTTTGTTCATTTTTACTATTTGTCTCTCTAGCGTTACGAATATCATTTGAAACTGTGAAATATTCGTGTGCTCACTCACACACAAAAAAAATCTCCCCGTCATTTATGCTGCTTAAATTAATCGAGTCGCTTGTTTGGTTGTAATCAGCTCACTGAATTGAGGTTGATATTTTAATTCGTCAACAGTCAAAATATGATGAAAAAGCACCGGACAGCATTGTTTTAATTGATGTGAATCTGAGAGAAGACAACATTTTGTACGATCAATTTCAAAATGATCATTTGAGTCAAATTGAATCCAATTCATTTCAATGGAGTTCATCTAATCAAATGTTGTCCTGCATAAGAATTGTAAATTCTTCGATACTTGTTTTCATTTTAATTTTACTCGGTGAATTTGAAGGTTTGTGCTTCCGTGACGTAGCCAACTATTTTCGAATTTTCTCTTCATTTTCAACATCTATCACAACGGAAAAAAGTGCATAAAGGCACCAAAATTGAAATGTATGCGGTATTTAAAGTCAACTATTTTTTTTAATCGATGATACAGTGAACGAAGGTCATCAACAACTATTCCAAATTATTATAACAAATTAATTTCGTTTTCGTTCATTCGAAATTGAATAAAATGTCATTTTAATTGTGTGAATTGCAAAATTTCATCGTTCGTTCCACTTTAAAAATGGACGAATTTTCTTGCTCGAAAATCCAATTGTCATTATTCAGTGAATAAATTCACTAACGATATTATCACGATTTCAATTCGTTATTAAATACAAACACAGTGTATGTGACAACGTTGATGATTACACAATTTTTTTCATCGCTGGTCGATTGCTGCAAATGAATCCAGCTCAATGGCAATCACTGTCAATATTCCGAAATCCAATGAAATTAATTATTGCTCAAATCTTGATCAATTGTAAGATCAACAAAGCATCAAAAATAAAAGTAATTCGATTTCAGGAATTTAATTATTGTTTTTAAATTAATTTATTTCATGAACCACTCATCAAAAAAAAAATGTTTTGTTCTTTTTTGACAGGGTTTCTCGTGCGTTGACTTGCAGAATGCTGGAATGCGCCAATCGGGCGTTTATTATTTGCAAATTCGTGGAACAACATATTGGTTTTTGAAAGTCTATTGCGAACAGGATATTGCTGATGGCGGTTGGACGGTAAGTATACTTAGAATGTAGCAGTCATTCTGTCATGTTTGTTGTGCATTTCGCTCTCTTTCTCTCCTTCTCTCTCTCTCTCTCTCTCTCTTTTCGCCCAACATTCCGTAAATATAAAAATTCACGTAACGCGACCACCTGAATTCACAATCAAATCGAACACATTTCAGAACTTATTGAGAGCAATGACAAAATACCGATGAATTGAATGGATTTGACGAGAGAGAAAAAAACGCACGCAACATTGTATGTGGCGAGCACAAAAAAAATTGCAAATATTTGGAATACAGAGAAGCAAAAAAAAAAACAACAACTGAGAAACAAAACAACACTCGCAGATAAATATTGTGCATTAAAAAGTGCTCAACACTTTTTGCAATATTGGTCGGCGTTAGAAAAACTGCTGTGAGCGCACAGCACCACTTTTCAGTAAATATATCGAATAAAAATGCAATAAATATTTTTCATCAATAAATAAATGCCAAACAAAACAACAAGCGCTCGAACTCGCGCTCATTCCGTACGCACACCAAAAAGCGCTCGCGCGCAATGTGCAAATTCTCGTTGAGTCGTTTCTTTTTTGTTTCTGTCTCACTGCAACATGCACGAGGTGACCGGACAAAGATACGGCATATTGAATTGTAATCATTTTCGAGTATTATATGTTAAATTATGCGTATTTCCTGCACACGCCGTTACATTTGCAGTTTGTCAATCGAAAGAGCAATCAAATTGTACGTGCGCACATTTGACCAGAGTTTGTTTTTTTATTCTTCTCATTTTTTTTCGGTCGTCCAACGAATCTCTATCTCTTTTCATCATTCTTCCTTGGTCTTGCTCTTGCTCGCCATAGACATGGACAAAAATCGGCGGTGCAAGCACAGCATGCACCAAAATGTGCATTAACCAGCAAATTACATTATGAGAAATCATTGAACTTATATTCGATTTGATATAACCGTTGTGAATCTGATCGAATGCACAACACCGTAAATACGCACCTATATCAAATCATTCAATTCCATATTACATGTTTATTACGATCGTCGACGATTTGCACACGATTATGTATGAAGAAACGACGCATGGATCTTGAGAAATATTGACGGTGAGAAGAGGAAAAAAAAACACAGAGAGACACACACATCTCAAAGGCGGATGAATAAGCAATTTCGGAATTGATTAAGATTGCAAGGCGGTGCAAACACCGCGCTGCGTCACTTTTCTGGTTTTATTTTTCTTCTCCTCTTCTTTTTTTCTTCGCACATGGACATCAGCTAATAATATTTAAATCGAAAACAAATAAAACCATCACATTAATTAAGTTTCTTCATTCAATACAATTCAATTGCAGGTAATTCAACGGCGTGATGACTTTGGCGAACCGCGTGAAAATTTCAATCGTGATTGGTCCGATTATAAAAACGGTTTCGGTGATCCGGCCAAAGAATTTTGGCTGGGCAACGAAAACATTTATATGCTTACCAACAATGAAGACTATTCGCTGAGAGTCGAACTTGAAGATTTCGAAGGCAACAAACGGTAGGTCACATCATATGAGCACATACATTTCAGATGTTCCTATTTATTTTGGATGGTTTTTTTTTGTACTATGATTACAGTTATGCTCAATATTCACACTTCAAAATCTATTCGGAGGCCGATTACTATAAACTCGAAATTGATGGATACGAAGGTAATGCTGGCGATTCATTGAACGATCCATGGTATGGTTCGAATAATAGCCCATTCTCAACGTATAATCGCGACAACGATCGAAGCTCATTGAATTGTGCCAGCATGCTCAAGGTATATATGGCCATTCTTTTCTTCTACCGATTTTTTTTATTGCAAAATTTATCGAATTGCATTCAGAGATCATATAAAAACGATGGTTAGTTGGCGAGAAGGTCACATTTGGATGAGGTGGCGTTTGGCAAATTGAATTCTCTTTAGAAGCAAACGAACATTATCAGCACGTTTGATGAGAAGCATATGTGGGTGTAGGAGGTGTCATCCTGGCTATTTCTCTAGGCGGTGTCGAAAAATTTGAAGTTGAAATTCAATTTTTTCTTTTCGATTTTTTTTTCCATGAGATGAACTTCTGGGCCATTTCCATGTTATGATACAATATTCAAAGAAAACGGTTCTGAAGATTCAATCTTGACCAAAGCTGTTATTGGCACCAAAGTGCAGACAGAAAGAGCAGCACTTATACGAACAGTACTCACACTTCCACGGTGCTCTCGACAAATGAGTCTAAAAAATATCATTTTAACTGCCGTTAAACATTTTATGATGCTCTACATTGAATTTGATTCGACTTTTCTTCATTGAGAAAATCCGGAATACACGCGAAAATTATTTTTAAAAAAAATCGATTTTTCTTGTTTAAAATCCCATTAATTTGATTTATTCTCGGAAAAATAATATTCAAATTATAAAAAAAAAATCCAATTCTTATACCATTTCTTTTTTGTTCCATTTTCTTTTTTTTTTTAATTGTTTATAGGGTGGCTGGTGGTGGAAATCATGCGGTCGCGGTTTGAATGGTTTGTATTTGCATGATCCGCAAGATTTGACCGCACGTCAAGGTATCGTATGGTTCCGTTGGCGCGGCTGGGATTATACATTGAAAAAAGCCACAATGATGATTCGGCCTAAAGGCTTAGGTTCAGGTGCCACTGCACCATTGCCATCAAGTTCATCATCTTCATCGCAATCAGCTGCAGCATCTTCTTCGTCTTCTTCTGCATCTTCTTCATCATCGTCTGGATCTGCCAGTCAACAGTCATCCACGACAACGGTATTCGTGTCAGCGACGACATGAGCTGCACACGAATAAGTCTTTAAAAAACAAACACAAACAAACACACACACAAACACAAAAACATTGATCCATTGATCCTACTATAGTCTTTCTTCACGATATAAAAAAAAAATAAATGGGCAAACTTTTGTTAAATGACTGAACGCCGATTTGTTGGCGTGCGTTTAACAAATGTTTGTCGATTTTGTATTTTAGTTAATTTATGTAGCAAAAGAGACCCTCTTCCCTATATGAGTCATACAAGATCCATTCAACAAAATGTGCTCGAATTTCTCCAAATCAGAGAAATCCACCAAATACCTAGTTATTCCTTTTACATACACACACATACATGCTGCAATACCCTTTACCTGAATATACAAAACACCCCCCACCCACAACAATAACTATATATTACAACGTGAAAATAAAAGAAGAACAATGAACCAACCAACTATTTAATAAGTTAATTTAAAAGAAAGAACAAGAAAAAATGAATTAAAAAAAGCGAAACTCGAAAAACGACAAACATCACAAACAGAATGGCATCATCTTTGATTAGAACTGAATTTTTAAGTGATGCATAATGTTTGTTGCTATCAGTAAACCAATTCTCGTTTCAGTCTTAGATGAAACACAACATTTCAAAATTAAAATTCCATACACGTATGCACACATTTTTCGGTCGCAAAATGTAAGAACAAAAGTGAAATACTTTTGAACAAAAAAAAAATCCGTCCGTTTAATCTTCCGAGACACGGTGTGAGCGTGAAGATGGTCACCAACAAAAAAGGTTCGCACATAAAATAAGATAAATTTCGTACAAACACTGATTACACCAGGCTCTCTATCAATTTCGATTAATTCTCTTTTCCCCAATTGTGTTCTTCGTCATGTTCGGCTGATTTTTTTTAGTTTGTCGCCTAAAAGAAGCTGACGAACATCTCTGTGTATGTTTCAATGTTGTTCTTTGATTTCAGTCTTGCCAAAAATATGTTTCGCTGAAAATGAAAATGTCTTAAGAGATCTCACCTCCTATTTGCTCCAACGTAAATTTTCTAGAGCGAAAAGAGCATCTAGCAAACATAGCTGATATTTTAGTGACTCGTGAAACGGCGACCAAAATACAGTTCTATGCGAATCTTTTTTGGCCGTGCGCCTTCAGGTGACCATAATATCAGCGCAAGCAGGGTGGTAAAATTCCTTGAGTCATTTTCTTCAGCTATACATAGTCAATTTATTGTCGCAAATTTTCGATCGAAAATTTGATAAATGTAACGAAAAATTATACACACCCGAAATAAACTCCTCGTCCCCTTTCACACCTGTGAAAAACTGAAAATGACACGGAACTTATTCAAACCGTTCTTTCACTCTCAATTCCGGAGAAACATTTCGAGTGCAACGAAAATATACGAGACGTGAAATCATTAAGTCCATTGACCCATTCCCATGAAGGTGTGTCGCTTTTTTTTCGGAGAGCTTGCAAGAGCTTTTCCCTAAGATTTTGTGCAAAAGACAAAAACCATCAACAACAGCAAACAAAAATACGAGAAAAAAAACCGATTATGAAGAAATTTGCCTAATTGTACTCATTCACGTCATGTAAATTATTTTATTCATTATTCATTAGATAAATTTAGATTTTAAACGAGAAAAAAGAGCGAACTTGTTCAGATGAATAAACAAAAAGATGAAGAAGATGATGTGAAAAAAAATCAGAAAAAAATTGTAAGAGAAAGAAATAAGAAAAATTTATAAATATTGAATAGGTATATTTTTAATATTGTATAAAAAAAATCAAACAACAAACAAACAAAATCGAGGAAAAATTGTAAAAAAATTTAAATCAAAAAACAAAATAGAGTGAACAAGATTCCATTGCTCGGGTTATTTACCGCTTTTGGTTACATATTTGTACTATACACAAAATCGCACTCAGTTTTCTGCGTTCGGTGTAAACACACAATAATGTTTTTGACAGAGTATTGCTTAGCGCAGCTGCCATCCACAGCATATTAAAATATCTTGCTGAGAATGCGTCGTCCGTCGCATGCGAAGGTACGTAGCAGTTTTTACATCACCACGAACAACAATACATGCATTGTTCTTTATACAATCGTTCGAATGTTTTGAGTCACATAATCGTGAAGAGAACAACGCATGCATTCTTGTTCGCTGTGATGTATAAACTGCTACGTACATTCGCATGC